CCCCACCTGTAAGTGTAGATATAGATACTGTACATGTGTTTCTCTGTATGTGGACTATTTGTCTACAAAACCAATCTATACTATAGATTGACACTCTAGTAGAGGAATATTGCATGAGTTGGTGGCTGGAGATATGTCTTTTATCTCTGAGTGCTGCAATGGACCAAGCCGGCCATTGACCAAATGAAACCGCATAATGTCATATGTCTTTATCCAGAGTTTTCTGGGCTTTTAGCTGTCAAACTCATCAGTCAGACAGTCTGTCAGCAAGTGGGAGCTCCTCTAAAGCAGCGGCTGAGCCATTGGTCTCCCCTCTGTCACCCCCTGAAACCCTCTCTTCAATCTCCTCATCTTGGCTCAGTGGATCCTGCTGTGACAGTCGGTTTAGGGGGTCAAACGTATGCATTTTGGGTTCAGGGCTGAGGAGGGAAAGCTGTGGCAATAACGGCTCCTCGCGAAGTTTAGCCGCCATCTCCTTGGCGCTGCAGGTGGGTGTGTTGGTCTCATAGACATCGTGGAAGTTATTGTAATCTACCTCGTAGAAGCCCTTCTCTAAGGATAGCACTGGAGTGAAGCGGTAACCCCACAGGACCTCAGTGTCCAGGTATGAACTTCTTGCCTGACACGTCATCCCTGCCAAAAGGTAAAGACAGGTGTATGTACACACACAAACATTCACACAAAATGAAAGAGCACACACGACAGTCCGAGGGGTCCATACATGTGAAACCAGAGAGCCAAGCACACACAACCAGAGTGGATAGGTAAGCACACAATGAGATAGAAAGAGGCATAGGGAGAAAGAGCATCAGTTAATTATTCATGGTTACAAAAGAACAGCAAAGATGTGCATACTGTTTTCTCTACACTCCTATCATCGGTCTCCAATCATATAACTAGAGTATTTTTCTTAACACTGAAGTATTTGGCTAGTTTGTTGAGTTTACACATAAAAAAGACTGTATATATATTCCATTAGTTGTGTTTTAATAGTAAGCAAATCTGAATAAAAATAGTACACGTCACATGCCAATATTGTGTGTGCATGCTTTGATAGTCAAAAGGCAAAACAACTACGCATTGATTCATTTAAATGCTAAAGGCACATCTTAACTGCATGTTTGTAGCTTTTTCTCAGTAAAGTATTAAAGTATGGTTTAACACTGTGGCTTAACACAGGTGTGTTACTCAAATAGCAACAATAATAGCTTGGTGTAAGTATAGGACTTGGGAGGCAGCATTCACAATATATTTTATAACAGCATTTCTGCTTGCAAAAGTACCAGTGTAACTGGTAACACTAACAATATATAAATAACATTTCACTAGCTGGGCCTACATCCTCATTCTATGTTTGACAGCATTTTAGTAGGTTAGGGTGAATGGCTTGAACATGAATTGAGCTGTGGTTTGGGGAAGGCCTCGAAGGGGACTGAAGAGGAAGAATTGAAAAGGTGAGGGACGGTGGGGCACGTAAACAGCTACAAGATTGAACAGCTTGTAGGACTGGGGGAACCTATATAGATGAGAACCAGAAGGAGCAATATGGAGACGTGGTCCGGCTCATGAAATTCCGATACTTAATCTCCAACTAAATAGCATTCCTTTTTGATGAGCTACATCCATGGTCTTGTTATTATACATGGTGGATGTGTGGCACAGCTACTGGAGCAGTGCAACTGTAAAAGTCCCTTTGCGTGTTTTCTTTTATGACAAGTGCAAATGTCTGCTCATGTTTACATATTATTTGTAGGCCTGAGAAAACTGGCTAACCTAAGTCGAACTCTTGCTATCGCTGTCATTAGTTATAACTGTGTTTTTCTTCCAGTGTAGGTAACTGGTGTGAAATAGCCTTAAAAATGTGAGCTGCAGAAAGTTAGTGGTGCAGTTAATACGTTCTTGTTAATAAATTAAATATGACCTAAAGCTAAATAGCAGCTAGCATCAGAAACCACTGCATTTTTCTTTGATGGATTTTTTTTTATTGAGGAAAAAATAATAAAACAGTATTTCACCATACCTCCTCATTGATAACTTTAAAGCAATTTTAAAATGGAGCATTTCAATATTTAGTCATATAAAGTTGGGCTCAGAGGCTTACATATATTCATCATGGGCATAAATGTCTTGCTAATCTTGGGCTTTTATTGATTTCTTTGAACTGTTCTTTTTCCTGGGTGGAATTTGAACAGCATACATCTTTAATGACTTTACAATACAAACATTAAGTGCACAAGTGTGAATTTTCTCTAATCCACACAGGGACAAAATTCTTCCTACAGGGAACCAAACTAATATTTGGCTAAATGTCCAAATATTGTTGCACTGGACATGAGCTTTTTGCATATTTCTGGCTGGATCTTTTGAGCCTAATTCTTTGCAGAATTATTAGAGATTACTTAATTCTTTAGTTTTCTTGGCACGTACCTGGCTTTTAAGCAAAGTCTACATATGTTCATGTGGTTGAGGTCAGGGCTTTAGAAAAATAAATTGAGTGTGGACAGTGATACTGATGTTCTAGCACTTTCCAGTTCATGGCAAGCTTGAGACTTAATGGTTACTGGGTTTATTATGAACATCCTAACCATTTCTCTGTGACAGTTTGGCTCTTCTTTTACGTCTTGGCAAAGGGGTGCCATACCCAAATAACTTATACTTACATAGATCTGTTTGAAATGCTGCTCTTGGAATCTGCAGTTGTTTACTCAATATGCTTTAGGCTTATCAAGTTAAAAGGCATTATATAACCTTCAAGTGTTTGTATAGATTTGGGTCTGTATAGATGTGCTTTTGTCCTTGCATGTAACAGAGAATTCCAAATTGTATGGAAACGTTGTTTTTCAATAAAGATGTGTGCTGTACAATCATTCCACCCAGGAAAAAAGAACAGTTCAAAGAAATCATTAAAACGCCAAATTACCATGGCATTCATGCCCACAGTGAGTGCATATAAACTTCTGACAGCAAAGTAAGTTTTCCCACTTCTCAGTATTCTGTCTGTTTTTATATCAGCAGCTTTGAAAAGTCTGCGTCAATTAGCTAATAAGACTTACAGCTTTTAAAATAGCCACAAAATAATCACTGCCACAACTTTCCAAGCCGGAGCAATCATTCAAACGCTCGATGTAGCTGTATATCACTTTAAACTGCAAACATCTGACTTTCCATCAATAACCTTTGAAATAAATATATGTATGTATGTAACATCCCCAAAAACATCAAGCATGGGATGAAACTGATATGGTATCTAGTGTGAGAGGAGAGGCTTTTGCACATTTTCTTCAGCTTTCCCTCTGGATATGAGTGGCCTACTTTCCACATTTAACTTGTGAAATATAGCATCTTTCAGTTCCTAATGACAAGAGATTCTATAGTGTATTTTAAGGTTGTTGACATAGTATTTGATGTGTTTGTTTTAAAGCCCTAGTTTAGTAGTCTAAATCCATTAAGCTGTTCAATGAAGATCTTTAGTACCTTCTCCTGTTGGCATGTAGTGGTGCACAGGCTTTGTCATAACTGTCACAAAACAATATTTGACTTTATATTGGCCTTGTGGAAGATAGAGACCTCACAGATATAATTACAGTATTTTGCTAATGAATTTATTTAGTCCCTATTGTTGTGATCAGACAGTACTCCCGCCCCCTCTTGTTTATTAGCCATTTTAATAAACAAAGACCCTCCTGATAGCCATGTGTAGATTGTTATTGTAAATTTCATTGTGATACATTATAAATATACAGTAAAAAAACAACTGATGTTTCTTTTAGGATAATTTGGTCACTTCTGCAGAAGCAGTATCTGGAGATTTCTACAGCTTGTAAAGAGGAGTCAGATATGTTTCAGATTTGTTTCATCCATACGGTGAGTGCAACGAGTACATTTCCTCCAAAACAATGTCGCACAAATGTAGTAATCAGGGTGAATTTGAGAAAAAGAATTTTCCAAATGGAAACCATATATTTCATTGGTTTCCATTTGGAGGTGCAACTTTAAGTCTCATGGTATCATGCCTGCTGGAAAATGGAACAGATTCTTTTCCAAAGGAAAAAGGCTACCATGGAAAACTGCCGTCATGGAAAAAGATCATGACCTGTGAGTATACCATGACTTGAAATCCAGGTGGAAATGATTTGTTGAACTTGACATATCCTTACAGCAAGTGACAGTGATAGAGCCTAGAACATCATTGACACATAATGTGTTAGTCTCTTCTAGGTGATTTTGTTTACTACCAATGTGTCCATCGTGCAAATAGTTGTAGTAATGGTAAACGGTAAATGGCCTGTATTTGTATAGCACTTTACTAGTCCCTAAGGACCCCAAAGCCAGTCATCCACCCCTTCACACACTGGTGATGGCAGCTACATTGTAGCCACAGCCACCCTGAGGCGCACTGACAGAGGCGAGGCTGCCGGACACTGGCGCCACCAGGCCCTCTGACCACGACCAGTAGGCAACGGGTGAAGTGTCTTGCCCAAGGACACAACGACCGAGACTGTTCAACCCGGGGCTCGAACCGGCAACCTTCCGATTACAAGACAAACTCCCAACTCTTGAGCCACGATCGCCTGCAAGTAATCTTGCTAACGGATAAACCATATAAACAGTATCATCAAAAAAGTTAAATTGCAAAGGTCAAGTTGAAGGTTGTAACTTGACCATGTGTCTTGTCTCTTTTGTTTTTGCCCTCATGGGTTCCTGTCAGTACACACGTGTCCTCTGATGAACAAAGATGCTGAGGGCTTATCCTGTGACTTTCTTTCTGCTTTTTGTTTGTGGACCGAGGCAAAAACCTCGCGACAATCGACCATCCTTCTTCAATCTGAAAATCTGCTATTAAACATGCTCTAATGAACTTAACTGCTGATACATGGGCTGTAGGCTTTGTATTGTAAATCAAGAATCAGCCTCTATCAAAGAATCACAAATGATGACCAAACAAACAAATAAATAAACATAAATAATGAAAACTAACCAACTAACTAAATAAAAAAATAAATAAGTAATGACATTCTAAGCTTATTTATTGTTTGTATTAAACTTTAATGGCCCCATCTCAGTGTTTGAAAAGATTGTTTGCTTTATATTAATTCTGGCAGCCTACAGTATAAATTCACTTTTTTTCTTTTCATTTTTATATATCGGTTTTATGAATTTTCTTGCAAAGTATAAAACAAAAAACAGCAGTGCAGACACCATTGTTTTCACAAGCAACAATGATGATGATGCAATATTCTTTCTGTATTCTGAGAACTGGCATAAAACAGGGTTTATTTTATATATAAATATTGTGAAGGACACAGGGGACAAACACACTATGTTCAGTTCAGTTTAGAAACACTTCTCATAATGACAGCAAAGTTTGTTGTTAGCAACATAGTGTATATGACTGGGCCTCCATCACAGCAAGTACTAAATAGAATGAAGCATGGTCACCTACAGTGTTAGTTTGCTAATATAAAACATCAAAACTGCATCTGCTGTATGTTGCTGACAACAAACCTCTAGTGGCTTTATTGTTTTAAAGTACCGCAGTGAGTGTTTTATGAACGAAGATGCTGTATGACTTTATCTCTTACATAGCTGTGGAGGAGTTTTGACCCAATCTTCTTTATAAAGGTGTATCAGTTCATCAAGGTTTGTGGGCCTGCATTTATGCTCAGCTTTCTTAAGTTCCTGCCACAGGATTTCAGTCGGGTTTAGGTCTTTTCTTTTTCAGCCATTCTGTTTGATTCTGTCTACTTGGGTTCATTGTCCTGTTGCATCACTCAGTTTGGGGCAAGCTTTCACTGTAGGACAGAATGACTCACATTTACCTCTAAAATACTTCGGTATGCAGTACAGTTCATGGTCTACTCAATGACTGCAAGGTGCTCAGGGACTATGAATGCTAAACAAGCCCATATAATTAGCCCTGCACCACCATGCATTACAGTTGGTATAAGGTGTACACCACCTTACAGTTGGTGTAAGGTGGATATGTTGTGTTTGGTTTTTACCAACATGGTGCTATGCATTATATCCAAACAACTTGCTCTTCTTTTTTCAGTTTCTTTGAGCCTTGCACAATCTGACCTTGGAATGAATTTATTGGTATATCTACTCTTGGGAAGATTGGCAGCTGTCTTGAATGCTTTCCACTTGTGAATGATCTTTCTCACAGGAGATGATCGACTTTATGCCAAATTGACTAGATTTAGAATGATTGCTGTATTGTCGCAGAGCCATTACCTTACAATCTGAATCGCCTTGAGGCCACTGTTGTTTTAATTTGGTGCTATATAAGGAAAATCTAACTCAATTTAATGTATTTCCTCCAAACATTGTTTTAAACTGAGTGTTTCAGACCTGACAAATACTTAACACTCTACCTTTTAGAAGTGGCCACACTTGCTGATGATCACTTTATCAAGTGCATTTAATTAGGAGCATCTTGCTGCTACTTATTCTCTGAGTATACGGAAACATCAAGGGTGTACCTTTTATATAAAAGTGTTTCAGAATTTTGGCCATTGTTTTGTTTGAATAAACTGTGTAATATATATTTCCTGCTTTGCAGTTCATCTAAGGCACTGTTATTATTTCTTATCATGTCCCAATATGTAAAACTTTAGAATTTAAAGAGGGTGTACTTTCTTTTTACCGTGACCGTAAATCTTAAATCTAGAGTCTGACTCAAAGTCACAGCCTGAGTGCAGCCAATGAGGAAATTACAAGCAAGGCACACTTTACTAAATTGAGTGCATAAAACGTAGTGGATGCACATGTACTACAATTTGCTTCCATGTTTTTAATAAATCTTGCCCCACATTTCCATAATTCTTGGCCACAGGATTCATTCCAATGTTTTGATTCTCATTAAAGAAGCCACCCTCCAAAATGGATTATTGAATTGCACTGGACTGTAATGTAATTGAGAAGAGACCTTCTTCAAAAGTGCAACTTTGTAAAGGGATATTTTCCCAAAATCAGTCAAGACATCAAGAGCATCCTGTTTGTTACACCACAACATTTTGTAAAAAGAAAAAGAAAAAAAGAAAGACAAATTTTCCATCATAATTATTGTTAGGAACATAACTAAAACCTCCACTGTAAAGGAGGGTCAGCAAATTGCTGTTTGCAATCATTGAATGACTTCTCTCTCATGCTGTGTTGCACCATAAAAGCTCAAACCAAGGCACCAGTATTCTCATGTCGGGTATGGCTATTTTGAGAAAGATGGATGGATATTTGTTAATTGAGTTAATACAATATGGATTGCATGTTTGAGTCTGCATGCCAATTAATGAAAGAAGACTGAATCATTTATTTGCACTTTGCACACAGTCTCTGTGTGCTCTTCTCATAGCTGACTGCACGGCGATGTTATATGGCGTACTTTTATGAAAACTTGATTGTACCTCATTGTCCCCCCTTTACAACAGGGCAGAGGTGTTTGTGCTGTTGACCTGGGAAGTTTGGATCTGTGCTCTTTCCAGCAAAATAGCTGGTGCGATGACCTCATTTTATGTGGGAGAAAGACTAGCCTGTTGTGCTGGACTTCTCTATAAGCACTTATCACTTATATAGCATTTAACAGGCTCTTTAGTATCTAAATATATGGCTATGCAGGAAATTTTTTTCAATCATATCAACACCTTACCACTTCAAATAGGTGTCATAAAACTGTTTAAAAAAGGTTTTATTATCTTTATTAAATAGTATTATTAAAAAAAGTATTAATAAGTACTAATAAGTAATAATAATAATAAGTATTAATAAGTAATTCCCATTAAGACTTGCTTTATAGAAAAGGGAGTGAGGGAAGAAGGGGTGGCCTATTCTTTTGTTTGTTTTTATTAAAGTAAAACCATTCCTTGCTTTCAATTAAATATGACATTTATAGCGTTTGTTGCATCAGCTAAAGTGATCCAAAGTCTTGTGTAAGAATCTCATTCAGTTTAAACTTTATTTTAAACTCCAATTTAAATTTGGAATAAAAAGTGTGAACATGATTGCATAATTTTACTCATCTTATACTCATTCGACTCGGTTATTGTATCGTGACATTTTCCCACGATTTTAAGTTGACTAACTGTGAAGTGTATTATAAGCTGCTTTTATTTCAGAGAGCCGCCTTTGTTAGTGCAATTACACTTGAAAAGCAAAATTTGGTTTAATATGTCATGTTTGTGCTTTAGTTTTTTAAAAAAACAAACAAATAATGTGGAAGCACCTCTTGTAAGTGATTTCCAGAGCCTGACTCACCATTATGCTGCACACCACAGGCTACACAGCTAACAAGTAATGGCTGCGAGAGCATGAAGCCAGTTTCACCACCCACGTATGTATCGCTTCCAAAATATATGTGACGACATCCACGTGAGGTCGTACGCAGGATATTTTGTTTATTAATGACTTTTTATTTTCCTAACGACACGTAAAGACTGGGCCTGAGGTAGCTTTCTGTCTGTCACTGTGTTCTTTCTCACGCACAGAATGAAAGTCTCACATACAAAAAAGGAAGTGGGGGAGGGCTGGTGGATGGTCAGATTAGTTTGTTGCCTAGCGGTCAAGGACAGTGACGGCATAACCCTTGCATGATGCCATGGTCTTTGCCGGTGAAGCGAAAGGTGATTTAATGCCTGAGTCAAGTATCAAGCAGTGTGAGCAGGAAGTGGGATGACTGCTGGTGCTTTGCAGGAAACAGGAAATAAATAAATAAATAAGATGAAATAGAGCAGAAATGTTCACATGAATGCAAAGCTGTGTCTGGTCATATTAGGTCATTTGATGGTTTGTTAGAATTTTCAAAAAGCCAACTGTGGCATCATCAGACCGCTAATCACTGTGTGTCTCCTTTACTCATGTGAAGTATGATGCAATCCAATAAAGTAAATTAGTAGCATGTATAATTCAATGAATTTAAAATGAGTATATTGTAATCAGTCCTTCAACAAAGGCCATTAAAAAATGCAGGTTAGGCATATAAACAATACTTGATTTAGCCAAAGCCACAGGAACAAGTTAGATTGACCAATGACTTGTGTTGAACTTGTGGCCTTGACTGCAGTTTTAAGCTGGGAAATACAAGCTTTCTGGAACTTTACAGAAACACCTGGTCATCTCTGCGCCATTAATGTAACCGGCCTGCAGCACTTTTCAGGACTGCTTGGTTTTTACCAAAAACACACGGCAACATTGCAGGTAGGTACGCTTCATTGAATTGAAAATAAACAGTATCAAAGGCAAAACTTTGAAGTAGCAACAGTAGAGATGCCGGTACAGATAAACATTTATAAAGAGGTTTTAGAGTTTATTTGTCTGCCTCGGTTGAAGGAAGAAATATTTAGTTTTGCAGTTATGGATTAAATAAAAGAACGGTCAACAACTGTTGTGGAATTAAGAAAATATACATTTCAAACAATTTATTGACTCTAAACTGACCCATATAGAATAGGAAAGATATATAAAAGATATAAAAAAATGTTTTCTATTTTTTAATGCATTATTATTAGGCTTTAATTAGTATCTCTGTCTTTCCATCAATTACACCATTTCCAAATCAGCAGCGCTTACTGGCAGGCTCACCTTTCCTCTTTCGCCTCTCCAACCATTAATCCATCCTAGCTCACTGCTTGCAACATTTCCTCATCTCTTTTTTTTATTGACTTATCCTCATTTGTATGCCCTCCCATACTTCCTTTACCCCTTCCTGATAATCTTACCCCCTTCATACCTGTGGCCTCCACCATTCCCTCAAGAATAACCACAATCTCGAACTCCTCCTTTTCCATTTGCGCCAGGGACATTTCCCAGAAGGGGCTCTTCTCATTTATTTCATGAGAGATGATGAGTGGTGAGACCAAGAACAGCCGGTCATCCCCTGTGTCAAAGCCAATGTTGATGTCAGTCTGGTTGAGCGGGATGAACTCCCCCTCTTTGGTCTGCTGTGAGCGGATCAGCTTTGCTCGAATCGATGCCTCCACAATGTGAGAGTTCCTCAGGTCGCCCACCCGGAACATCAGGCACATCTTGTTATCTCGCACCGATATGACAGCGTTGTGTGAGAACATGAGGGTCTCAGCACGGTTCTTTGGCTGTGAAATCTTAACAAACATGCAGCCCACCATCATGGCATTGACAATGGAACCCAAGATGGCCTGCACCAAAAGTAGTATAATACCTTCAGGGCATTTTTCGGTGATTACACGATAACCATACCCAATGGTGGTCTCCGTTTCAATGGAGAAGAGGAAGGCTGAGACAAAACTATTAAGGTTCTCCACACAGGGGGTCCAGCCCTCCTCGTCACCATGCACTAGATCCCCACGGATGAGTGCGATCAGCCACCAAAGAAACCCAAAGAAGAGCCAGTTGACTACATAGACCAGTGTGAAAATAAAGAAACTAAGACGCCAGCGTAGGTCCACCAGCGTAGTGAACAAGTCACTGAGGTAACGGTAGGTCTCTTGCACGTTTCCATGATGAACGTTGCATTTACCATCCTTTTGCACGTAGCGCTGACGTGGCTTCTTCACTGGGTCGGCTATCAGGTGGGTTCGCTCTGTAGAGATCTGAGGCTCCCTCAAATGTTTGGGAAGCTTCTTCACCTATGTGAAAGTAAAAAGACAGAGTGTCAAAGTCAGGAAAAGAAAGACGGTCAAAGAAATTAGGCCTGAAAAGACAGAATTAGAGGGATATTTTACCCACATTGATTTGCTCTGAAGAATTTGTTAGGTATAGTGTGCTGGAAGATGTATTTGTTAACTATCACTGCAGTATGGGATTTTCTATCAGGTTTTGCTAAGCCACACTAGAGGTGAGGGAGAGAAGATAAGCGAGGCAAATCAAATTAAGAGCCATTATAAAGTCACTTTGTAGATGTCTATGTATACACAGAGGGCAAAAAAGAAACAGAGAGTAAGGACACAACAAGAACACAAGGACACTCAAGCCTTTGTCTATGTTGGCCCAGCTCCAGCGAGGCAATCTGGCTCCACAACTGTGCCCTGCCTTCCTCCCTGTCCCTTGTGTTCTTTTGCACTCTATGGAACATTTGCAACCTCGGATAAGAACAGATCTACCACCATCCTTTAAAAGACCCTTTAAAAGACCCTAAAAAACCTGATGTATAACTAAATAATCACCTTACACTTGTAGGCATTATTATAATATCATATTTTGTTGAGTTTATATATGGTTAGAAAAGGCAGTGCTTCACAATGTAGCTATAAATTCAAACATGATTTGGAAAAAAAAGGTTTTTTTGGCCTCCCTCTTACACAAATAAATACATAAAAGACCAACATACACCAAAGACAATGTTTTAAGGGACCTTTCAGAAAAGCACAAGGACTCTTTATTGAGACACTGACGCTGTCAGATCTCAGTTGGTAAATGAAAGGATTGTGTCAAGACGAGACAACGATTGTGTCTCTTTCTGCTAATCTTACACCTGCAAACCATTTCTCCCCACAGCCACGCGTTCATCAACAGGAAAGTTACATCCATCATAGGGATGATCATTATCATAGTTTAGTTGGAGAACAGCACAGTGTGAGCCACAAACAGTGTCCTTTTTGGTGCCTTTGATTGTAATGCCTGAAAAATAAAACCTGCCGGATTTTTATTTTAATTTTCAAATAGTTTTACTGTCAGCTGCTTTTTAACTGCAGCTGTGCTAGGTCACATCTATATACTATTGATTTTCTAGATCTAGATATAGATTTAATGTAATCCGTTTTTAAGGACCATTTTGAAAAAGAAGAACTGAAAGACTATTCTTATTGATCTGCATTGCAATTAGTGGCTTGATGACCGTGCGTTCACTAAATGTCAATGCGGTTCCTTATTACAGACCATAGTCAGGGAAAATGCATCAAACAGTCATGCAGAATGCAGTCGGCACACCGCTTTTTAAGGTAATGCTTTAAGCATTTCTTCTCTACTGACAAGATGACTTGACGTATGGCTGTGTTTTCTCGAGTTGTTAAATGCTACTACAGAGGTTTTCAATGAAAGACAGCCAAAACAGGCCTTTTCATTTCCACTCTTTGAGCTGGGTTAATTGAGTGATAGATGAAGACATCACAGCTAGTGCTGCCCAAACTCCAGCCTTTGTAGTCAATACTGTCCCTGGAGGTGATGGCCCTTAAAACAAATTCATTAGCTGTCTCTGTTTGGCACTAGTAAGTACTGGGGTTTTTCTCTCACTGAGCCTCGCCAGACAAGGTTGAGTAAGCTGCATAAGTTTAAATCAGCTTGGAAATTCAGGATGGATAACAACTCCACTAGTTATTTGGGATGGCTGTTTTTTGGTCATTATCTTCACTGCCAGGTAAACTGAATTAAACACTTATTTAAACTACTAAAAAAAATGACACTTTGGTAGCCTTAATTCATGTCCATAGTACTTATTTTATCTATTCAATAATTCTACAGCATATCTACTTTATAGGGTAGATAAGTTCTATATACCTTAAGCATTTCCATATTTTTTTTTGAAAATGTCAAATTGCTTTGTTTTCAATGTCAGATCTTTCCATACTAATCATTCTTATCTTCTCTCTATATATCTCTCATCTATTTTTCTACCCCTGCTTTCCCAAAAACGAGGTCTCACCTCCACTCTCTCATATAGTTTCTCTAGTATTTCACATTTAGTCTCTCCCAGTTGTTTAAATATAAAGTAATACAGATTGGGCAAAATACAGTGTGTGTACTGTGCGAATACCTGTGCAGGGGTGACGCCTATCTCCATGTTGTGGTCCATTAGGACTCGGGAATCTCCTGCCATCCTCAGCTGGAGCTAACCTGTCGGAAATGAAAAAGTGCTTCATGGGATTTGTTATACTAAACATATTTTGCTGGTATTTGAAGTACCAGAACGGTCATTTGTTTATTAAAATAAACCAATGCGACAAACTATAAAAGGTCATAGCTATGTTACTGAAAGAGTACATACTGCATTGTAGGTACAATCTCAGGGTTTTTACATTTCAACCCCTAGGTATTGCATTACAGATACAGGTATTGCGTGAACACATTGCATTTAGTTGCATCCATTACTGAAGCTGATTTGGTCCGTGTGCAACTGTAGCAAGATTCGGGTGCTTTGGAAAATATGTTGGTCATAACTTTTGCAGACAGGATTTGTAGGCGCAGCCAAGTGGTTTAAGGCTGTCTGGTTTATGTTCACAGGATCTCGACTCTGCTTTTTGTGGATTGTTGACCTCCAGCTTACACTGGGGCAGTTTTCCTTAGCACCTTCAGATCTGAGGCAATGGTTTTAAGCTAAAAAAAAAAATGGTAGGTTCCAGACTGAGGAGTTGTTGCACCAATAAAGTATCTCAGGCCTGGTTCAAAGGAGGGATGAGGGTCCAGCTTGAAATTAAGAGGTGGACTGGTGAGAATGAGAGGTGAGTTGAGTGAGTGTTGATTTGCTGTTTCTTCTTCACTCTTTTTTTCCCCACTAACTGTGTTTTTACACCATTCTGAATTTAATCATTAGTTATTATTAATCTCTGGCTCTCCTTCACAGCATGTCTTTTGTCCTGTCTCCCTTCCCTCACAATCAACTGGTCATGGCTGCACCGTCCTGAACCTTGTTTCTTCCTGTTAAGAGGTAGTTTTTCCTTCCCGCTGTTGCCAAGTGCTTTCTTTGGGGTTTTCTCTGTATTATTGTTGGGTCTTTACCTTGCAACATAAAGTACCTTGAGACAACTGTTGTTGTGATTTGGCGCTATATAAATAAAATCTAATTAAAACTGAATTAAACCATGCCTACAACATATAGGTAGAAAATGAAAGAATAACATCGCCCATGAAAGTGCACTCTTTTACAAAATAGACTCAATAAAACAAACTTCAAAAGGTTTCTAGGTTCACTCTTGGATCTCAGTAATTCAGGAAGTACTCAGAATAGAGATGGCACATTGAAAGAAGACAGTTTGGGCAACAGCACGCTTCCTGGACACTTCTTAAGGCGAGGTGTTTTGAGCATCCAAAACACTTGGTCTGAAGAGGATACACTTAGGAGCTCATGTCTCATCTGGCCTGGGAGCCAGTGGCTGCATAGAAAGAAGGTGTGTCTCTGCTCAGACTGCTTCTCCAAGACCAGGACTCAGATAAGCAGAAAATGGATGAAAGGCTTTGAAATTGCATGAATTTGTCATTATGTCAGGGTTTGCCAAATGGTATATTAAGATGTCACAGAAAGCTATAAGGTTAAAAAAGGTCAAGCCACTGCAGTTGTAATTGTTGCATGAAAAAAAAATCTTTATATAGACTTTTTAAAAAATAAAAAGTCTATATAAAGATTTTTTTTCATGCAGGCATTTCCAGAGATGTACTTGTGGGGGGAAATTACTGTTATGGCAGCTTGACTTTGCTGTGTAGAAGCAAAAGTAAGCTTATTTTTGAAGAAAATAAAAGCCATTCAAAATATAAAGGCACAAAATGTCTTTATTTTTTACCCCTGTTTAACTGCTTGTTAACCCAAATATCTAACCAACAAATCACAAGACAGCAGCTCAATGTATTTAGGAATGCAGACATGGCCAAGACATTCAGCTAAAGTTCAAACTGTGTCAGAAAGGAGGAAGAAAGGTGAGTTATGTGAATCTGAACGTGAGACAGCGGCTGACCTGCTAGGATTTTTCCCATTTTTCCTGACCTTTTTGTTTTTATAATAGTCAGTAAAACACAAAATATCCAGTTAGTGGCAGTTCACTGGCAGAAAATGTCTTGCTGATATTAGAGGTCAGTGGAGAATGACCAAATGCTGACAGGGAGACAACAACAACTGAAAAACAAAGCAAAAAAACAAACAAACCAAATACTCATTACAACTAAGTTATGGAGAAGAGCGTCTCTGAATGCACACCATGAAGCAGATTGGCTACAGCAGCAGAAGACCACACAGGTCCCAATTATGTCATCAAAATGAGGATACATTAGAGAATGCGTCTAGTTGTACCAGTTAAGTAATGCAGCCCATCTGAGTATTGTTGCTGACCATGTTATCCCTTTATGACCACAGTGCACCCATCTTCTGGTGCCACAAAACTCCAGTCACCTCAAACTGGTTTCTTGAATGACATTGAGTTGAGCCTTAATCAGTGAGAACACAGCCATATGTATTTATTAGTATTTAGCTCAAAAAGCTGTTGTACGTGATCACCGCCAAGAAGAGCTAGCATCATGGCCGCACACTGCTAGTTAATGAACACAGCACACTGCCAAACTAGAGCACTGAACGTGCCAAAATGTTTGCTGACAGTGTAGTTTGCATGTTTTACCAATAACTATACTGGCAATGCACTATCTGCATGTAGCAAGTCAAGCATGAATATTTTTTCACGGTTATGTTTTGGTATACACAGCGCAGGGAACATTTGAGGTCAAGACTGAATCACAAGACAGGATGTGAGCATTTGTTACATAAACCTAACCACACTGAGGATATCAGCTGTGAGGCTGAGCATTTCCATGAATTCAGTTTCTTGTAAACTAGGTTTGACAAAGCAAATCATTTGTGCATTATTTTATGCACAAAATAATGCACACAAATGGAGGACGTGAGGGCAAAAGTCAGCACCTGAACAACCCTGATGTGCTCACTTAATTATATTTCCAGTTCAGACTCATGAAGTAAATATTAAATATTTGACTATAACCACCCTGCCAAACAAGACCTAAGTAAGGGATTAGCTGACCTCATCACGTGGGAGGTGACCCAGTGCCCAGTGCTGACCAATTTGCCTGGATGATGAGGCTCAGCTGCACATTTTATTTTAATGATGTCATTTTCCCAAAGAGCAGGCTCCTCATCGCCATCGTTGCCAGTTCTTGTGACTGTGTGTACCCACTCGCACACACCGCTCTCTCGATAAAAAACAAAACAACAACAACAAAAAACCCTGAACACTGCTTTCACTCTATTCATCATCCTGCCCATTAAATTTAATGATTATTCTCTTAATCAGTTAGTGGCAGAGAAATAAGCACCTTCAGCTGTTTCCTTCCCTTTACATTCATTCCAATATAAAATGAGCATACATCTTTGTACATCTTTGTGGTTGTTTTTAGCACAACTGAAGCCAGTAGGTGATGTGCTGTGACAGTCTCCGGTGCAGTGTGATGCGGTTTTAAAGAGTTTTTCCTCTGCTGTTGAGTTGTATTACAAAACAGGTATTTTTAAACATCTGTTGTGTGAGGTCCAAAGTGACAGGGAAAGTAGAAAGGGAACACTTTGAACGTCTCCTGAATGATGTGGGATTTAATTACTGCCACTACTATAATTTTAGAGGGAAGTGGTGTGTATGTGGGGTTTCAGATAAAGCCCTAGTTTTGGAAGCAATCTTACTACACCTTTGGAGCCCCAAAAGAGGCAATTAATTTATAGAGCCCCTGGGTGTTATTTGAAAATCAGATACTTTTAATTTGCTGAAAGAACTGGCGATACACGGGGCCTTGAAAGTAACCAAGCAAAGGAACAGTAAATTACCTTTGTGGCTCGTTCTTGACCTTAACAACACCTGACATTTCTTTGCCATCTGTCTTTGATGTTACTTTATTTGATCACTGACAAACGAGGGGAGGGAATACAAAAGCGAGCACAGGGGAAGTGAGAGGACCACGTCACAAACCAGATCCACACAGGAATGTAGTGTTGACAATGATCGTCCAAAGCAAAGGGCAGAGTGACGTGACAGGCATCTGAGCAGAGAAAACACAGACAGACAGACAGACAGGCAGCAGAGGTGCGCACAAAGCTTTCAGCATAACTTGCTGAATACATTGCAGGGGTTGCAAGGTCTCACTTTCTGACTCGTTTTTTTTTTTAGGTTCTCCCATGAATTAAATATGATTCCCCAGAGATTTGTGAACTCCAGACCCGTGTGCGCTTTCAGAAAGGCTGTAATTGCAGTGTCTGCTCGCAGTTGCAGATTCAACAAGCCCGAATGAGAAGTGTTCGAAATGGATACCAGCTGGGGTGTTTTATCTCAGCGCTTTAAGAGGGTAACAAGCATTTATCTTGTTACCCGAAGAGTGACAGGATGCTTTGGTTGAATTGTGTTTGTGTCCTGATAACAAGAGCACTCATCTATTGTGTTTAAAGCCAAGAGGTACTAGTAAACCAGGCAACTTGCCTCCTAAGGGATATCTACACTACATATATTTCCCTTATTTGCTGACACCGCATGCTATAAACAATTATCCATACAGAGCGCAGCAAAATGTGCTTTGTTCTCCTTCTAACCTGTAGCAAGCACTATAATTTCCCCTCAGGGGCTGACTGGTACTGAATAGCATTTGCTTTGTGATTTAATTTCCTATATTTTCCTGAACTTCAGAAACTTGTATTGTCAGCTTTGTGAAGTAAGAGCGAGCTTGTAACTGAGCTAAGAGAGGTTCACATCAATACTAATCACCAACATGCAAATAAAGCCCTTGAATCAGATCCGATCCTGAATTATAATTCTTACTTGATCAACTGTTTGGTTCAGTAATCCCCCCAATTTCTTCTTTATTTCACATTATGTGGAGATTATCGATTGTGCTTTCCTTATTTCCTGTCGGAAAGCTTTGCAATTGTGCTTATTTTGGAAGTGCTGACGCTGACGCTCGCCCTGGTCAGAAATAACTTTCAGGATCCAAATTAAAATATAAAATCTGCAGTATTTTTAATACAAATAAAACAGCATGCATTTTTAGTGACTTCACACTAGACTTTTACCTGACAGTGGTGCTTCATTTCACCATTCCTCATTGACCTTTCTGCTGAGCATGACAGGGTTACAAATGGCAGC